GTAATCTATTAATTTTTATCTTTATTATCATATTGTTTTAATTAATTGAAAAAAATCATTGTTCATTATTTATTATTTTTAATTTCTATTTATCTATACTGAAATCGTTAAAAAATTTGCGTATCGTTTGTTATATTCTTATTATCGTTTTTCTCTTTCTTTTGTATTTATTATCATGATGTTGTTTATTATAGACTGTTGCTGTCTTAAAACTTATCATCGTTTGTTTATTATTATTTTTTAATTTTTGGTAAATAGTTATGATTTTTTTGCTCACTGGTGATAGTGAACACGTAAGTTGGAAATTTTTTTATATTTTATCATTGTATATTTATTATCGTGTATCATTTATCGTTTATAATTTTTTGTTTAAAACATTAAAATTTTACTTATCATTCGTTTTTTCTTATTATCTTTTTTTCCTTTTTTTCGTTGTGATTATTATTATCATCTGATGTTGTTTATCATTTACCTACTTTGTGATTTGTTGTTATTTTAATTTTTTTATTTATTTTATTTTGTTATTCAATTTTTGATAAACGTTTTTTATTTTTTTTGCTTATCATTTTTTTGTTTTCTGTTTTATAATTCACTGGATGATAATGATGGACACGTAAGTAGAATTTTTTTATATGTATAATTATCACTGTATATTGAGTATGTCGTTTTTTGATTTTTGCTTATCATTTATTATCGTCTGTTATTTTTTAATTTTTTTTATATAAGTTTAAATTGTTAAAAGTTTTGTACATCGTTTGCTGTAAATATTCATTTGTTATCAATTTATCTATATTCTTATCATCATTTTTCTTTTTCCGTTTTCTGTGTTGCCATTGACTCGACGGTTATCTATCACAGAGATTCATTTTTGCATATTTTTATTATAATTTATCATTAAGCTTTTGGATTAAAAAAATTATTTTCGGTTTTGTATCGTTTTTTTTTTGATTATTTATTTTGTTTGGTTTTATTTATTCTATACAAATTTTCTCTCTATTTTTTAATTTTTGGTAAATCTTTATCATTTTTTTGTTTTTTGTTTATTTATTTGTTGTCAATTTATCAGTCATGTTTTTGTCGTTCTTATCATTTTCTGTTTTGTGATCCACTGGATGAGGAATTAGTCGATTTATCGTCAATTTATCATCAAGATTTGACATTTTATCATTTATCATTTGTTTTTTAGTATTTTTATCGGTGTTTATGTTTTTTTTCGATTTATTTGTCATTTACTGTTTTACTCAATTTTTTTTTTATTAAATTATAATATGTTTTATCTTATTTTTAGATTATTTTGAATTCGATGCATCGCTACCAACCCCGCTTTCACATCGTCTACTTACCCTCAAAAACCGCCAATAACACAAACGAGGAAAATTGTAGCGAAAATTTCAAGACTTTTGTTTTTCCAGAAACTGCTTTTACAGCAGTCACAGCCTACCAAAATCATAGGGTCAGTTCTAAAAACTTTCAAAATTAACCCAAATTTCACACTCAAATTTTTCTTTCAGATAACTCAACTAAAAATCGCCAGCAATCCCTTTGCCAAGGGCTTCCGCGATTGCGATCCGGACGAAACGTAAGTGTTTCCCTAGCAACGACCCTTGAAACCATAGTAACGCATTAATGATACTATAGTAACCGAGAAGCTTTTGTTGTTTCCCTAGCAACGACGCTTGAAACCATAGTAACCAATTAATGATACTATAGTAACCGAGAAGCTTTTGTTGTTTCCCTAGCAACGATGCTAGTAACCATAGTAACCGAGTAGTATATTGCCATGGTAACTAGATTTGAAGCGTTTTTCTTTAATTTTCGGTGGCGCTTATTTATTTGCCTAAAAATAGCGGCTCGCACATCAAAAGTCGCATGTAAAACGTCCGAATTGGATTTAGGTTGTGCCTCGCTGTCAAATAATTTAGCGAAACGAACTGTTTGATGGTATTTACGAGCAAATTACCTCAAATTATTACAAAGCGCGTCACTTTAACGTATTTACGAGCGACTTTATTAGTTCTCGTCGAGAAAGTTTTTAAAATATTTCTCAGCTTCTGTTTGAAATTAAAATCGAATTAATTTCGTAAGTTGTAATTTATGTATGTGTTTTGACGTTTCAAAAAACTGTTTGATTTTTATTTATAAAGGGAGGATTTGTTGAATTGGCGTATAGTTAAGATTGTCATTATAGAAGAGACCGCGTGTTATTTCTGTAACTGCCAAGCGTTTGAATTAATAGCCGAAAAGTATTCGAAAACATTCATCTTCCAATCTGGCTGTCTCCCCCTTACAAATGATGCCATTCCTAGACCGAATTTTTCAAATACACATCGACAATTAGCTTCCAACGCGAAAAAACCTCACATAAATCCGCTCTGGATGATTATGAATTGTATTTATTTTGATTTTGGCCCGATTTTTAAATTTGAAACATTTCATGCCTTCACTCTTGTTATATTTTTAGATTTAAACTAATAAACATCTCAGCGGAGCGCGAGATTTTTAAATAAATATATCCACACTGCACACTTTTTACACAAGGGACTTTCATGTCTCAGTTGGACACACTGGTGCCAACACTTCATTAAAACTTGACACGCGAAAATATTCAATGAACGGCTTTTTCGTCAAAATTAGGGAAAATTGCATAAAAACTCAATTTTAAATCAATATTGGCCCGTTTTTACATTTTACAAATAAAAAATTAATGATTTATTTGATTATTTGGCCAAAACAATAAATCAAATTAAATTGACACGTGACAGTATCCAATGAATGCTTTTTTGAAACGCCAAAATTAATAAAAATTACCTAATAACAATTTTTGACCGGTTTACGCGTTCCTCGATCTAGTGTGCCATTTGTTATAATCATTCTAGTGTAAAATAAATGTCATTTAAACACTGTTTTATGAAACTGTCAAAAACAACACTTGTAATGGTCAGAAATAGTTTGTAAATTGCTTAGTTTTTGTCAAATCTTAGAATAAGCAAGATATTTTTTTTTAGAACAATTTTTGTATTTATTGTCAAAAACATTTTATGAGTCAAAAACAATTAATTATTTGTTAATGTGAGAATAATTTAACTTAGTATTGTAACAAGAATTGTTGAAACTGTGTTAAAAACAAATTTTTTACAGTATTTTTTATTGGTTAATTAAAATTTGTCAAAAACAACTACCAAATTTTGGTCTGTTGAAACAATTTCTAATAATTTTTTGTAACGAAAAAACTCAAAATTATGTTTTTTAAACACTGAAGCTTTACGTATTGTCAAAAACAACACTTGTAAGTGTCAAAAATAGTTTGCAAACTAACTAGTTTTTGTCAAGTTTTTTGAAATAAAATAAGCAACATATTTTTCTTGAACAATTTTTTATTTATTGACAAAAACAACACAAATAACTTGACTTGTTGTACCTGTCAAAAACCGCATTTCTTTAAATTTTTACAGGTAATATTTATTAATTTCTCAATAAAATGTCTTAATGTCTTATAAATTGTCAAAAACAGATATATCGTTTACTACGAAACAAGTTAGTTTTTAGACTAACTTTCAATAGATTGTCAAAAATAACTTTTCTTGTCGAAATTATCTCAAAAAAAATCATAAATTCGTCAAAAAACACTTCCGTTGTGTCAAACAATTGTCAATTTTTTTTTAAATAAAACTTGATCCTTGAAAATATTCAATGAAAGGCTTTTTTATCAAAATTAATAAATATAGCAAAAAACTCAATTTCAATTTATTACTTTACCGTTTTTAGATTTTAAAATTAAAAAAATTATGATTTATTTGATTATTTGGCCAAAACGACAAGTCAAATCAAATTAAAACGTGACAGTATCCATTGAACGCTTTTTTGAAACGCCAAAATTACTGAAAATTAACCAAAACTTAAATAATAACAATTTTTGACCGCTTTACGCGTTGCTCAATCTAGTGTGCCATTTGTTATGATCATTTTAGTGTAAAAATATTATCATTTATTCGATTATTTCTAGAAACTGAAAAAAATAATAAAAATGCATTGGAAGTGATAGTATCCGATGAACGTGTTTTTCTAATGTCAGAAAATTAATCGAAATGTCAAAATCGATTAAAACTGCCTAAAACTCAAATTGTGACAATTTTTGGCCGCTTTTTGCATTTCGTATTCAAGCCTACTATGTTTTGTAATCAATATTGCGCAAAATATCAATGATGTATTTGACCATTTGGCTAAAAACTGAGAAAACAGATCAAAAAAAAAGTTAACAAGTGAGAGTATCCAATGAACTTGTTTTTCAAACGTCAAGAAAATGAACCAAATGTCAAAATCGGTTAAAATTGGCCAAAACTCGAATTGTGTTGATTTGAGACTGTTTTTCGCGTTTCGCAATCACTTCTACAATGTTTTGAAACAGTTTGAAAGCAAGAAATTGTTGATTTAATTGATGATTTGGTTAAAAAATGCAAACAAATTTTGCAGAAGTCCTGAATCGGTGACACAATCTTCCCAAGTGCAGCGCCAACGCACCACTTCCCGGTCTACTCCCACCAGCTGCACTAACAAAGGTAAATATAACTTTATCCAGTTTCGCAAAAAAAACAAACTTCTTGGAAAAAAAAACTTATAAAGAGGCCTTCAATCCAGTCTCGAAACATAAACTCAATTACCATCTGTTTACAAGTATATCTCGTAAAACGGTAAAGATTTTGGTGCTTTTTAACGCTTTTGTAAACAGTCTGGTTAAGTAGATAGCGTGTTTATAATTTAGTGAAGCACATGGCCGACTACATAAATTATCCCAGTTTACATTCCTGTAGCAGATGGCGAGGAAATCGCCGCCCCCGAGCCGGAGGCGGCGCCGCTTTACAACCCCCAAAACCGCTACCAACAGCAATCGCTCCTCCAATCCAACATTCTGACAACGATTGGACAACCCTATTCGGGGGATTTTAACTACGGACCTGTTTACCACCCCCACAACCTCCTCCACAACTACAACCCCGTCTACAGCAACGACAAAGCGATGCGAGGACACAATTTTCCGAGAACTATGTACTCCAACTACTCGGGGTTTTACCCAAACGCCGGAAACTACCGCAGTCCGGCCCTGCACCAAAACGGATACGACTTCGGGCCCAGATAAGCGCCATTTTAATCAACACAAGTATTATTTTCCTATTTATACCAAATAAAACTATTCTATTTTCTATCAACTGTTTTTTTTCCCGAAAAACAAGTGAAAATATCCGATGAATTGATTTTTTTTAATAAAAATTGGACAAAATTAAATTTTTGGTCAGAATTTTAATTTTGTAATGTTTTGTGATGACTCTTGAGAGAAATAGTGATTTATTTGATAGTTTATTAAAAAGTTGGCACGTGATAGTATCCCATGAACGTATTTTTTAAATGTCACCAAATCGAGTCAAATGTCAAAAATTGATCAAAATTGGCCAAAATTCGAATTGTGCAACTTTTTCACCACTTTTTCTGTGTCGCAACGAAACTTTCCACATTTCGTTATCACTTCAGAGTGATTAATTTTTTCTTTAATCGACACAAGTATTATTTTATTATGTTTATACCAAATAACTATTCTATTTTCTATCGACTGTTTTTTTTTTTCCCGAAAAAAAGTGATAATATCCGATGAATTGTTTTTTTTTTAATAAAAATTTAACAAAATTTAAATTTTTAGTCAGAATTTTAATTTTGTAATCAATCTTGCAATGTTTTGTGATGATTCTCGAGAAAAATAGTGCTTTATTTAACAGTTTATTAAAAAGTTGGCACGTGATAGTATCCCATGAACATATTTTTTAAATGTTACCAAATCGAGTCAAATGTCAAAAATTGATCAAAATTGGCCAAAACTCGAATTGTGCAACTTTTTCACCACTTTTTCTGTGTGGGAACAAAGCTTTCCACATTTCGTAATCAGTCCAGAGTGAAAATATCCGATATATATATATTTTTTTTTATAAAAATTGGAGAAAATTTAAATTTTTGGTCAGAATTTTAATTTTGTAATCAATCTTGCAATGTTTTGTGATGATTCTCGAGAAAAATAGTGATTTATTTAACAGTTTATTAAAAAGTTGGCACGTGATAGCATCCCATGAACGTATTTTTTAAATGTCACCAAATCGACTCAAATGTCAAAAATTGATCAAAATTGGCCAAAACTCGAATTGTGCAACTTTTTCACCACTTTTTCTGTGTGGGAACGAAGCTTTCCACATTTCGTAATCAGTCCAGAGTGAAAATATCCGATATATATATATTTTTTTTTTATAAAAATTGGASAAAATTTAAATTTTTGGTCAGAATTTTAATTTTGTAATCAATCTTGCAATGTTTTGTGATGATTCTCGAGAAAAATAGTGATTTATTTAACAGTTTATTAAAAAGTTGGCACGTGATAGCATCCCATTTTAATTCCATTTTAAATGTCACCAAATTGAGTCAAATGTCAAAAATTGATCAAAATTGGCCAAAACTCGAAATGTGCAACTTTTTCACCACTTTTTATGTGTTGCAACGAAAATTTCCACATTTCGTAATCACTCCAGAGTGATTAATTTTCTCTTTAATCAACACAAGTATTATTTTCCTGCTTATACCAAATAAAACTATTCTATTTTCTATCGACTGGTTTTTTTCCCTGAAAAAAAGTGAAAATATCCGATGAATTGATTTTTTTTTTATAAAAATTGGACAAAATTTAAATTTTTGGTCAGAATTTTAATTTTGTAATCAAATCAATGTTTTGTGATGATTCTCGAGAAAAATAGTGATTTATTTAACAGTTTATTAAAAAGTTGGCACGTGATAGTATCCCATGAACGTATTTTTTAAATGTCACCAAATTGAGTCAAATGTCAAAAATTGATCAAAATTGGCCAAAACTCGAATTGCGCAACTTTTTCCCCACTTTTTCTATGTCGCAACGAAGCTCTCCACATTTCGTAATCACTCCAGAGTGGAATTTTAACGATTTATTTGATTATTTATGAAAAAACAACAATTTTATTTTTCTTTCGAGTGTTTGACTTCCGGCCGGACTTCAATACCACCCTCTACGAAAGACATCAATCACGGACGTGACAAGTCGTCACACGCTCACTTTTACGTGTCCCTTTGCTAATTAATCATTAGTTGGGAAACATACGGACTGTCAAGTTACAGATTTTTACCGATGTCGGACAAGATTTATGAGATTTAAATGCGATTTTGTTGGCAAGAATCGCCCAAAAAACGGCCATTGTTCCCGAAATAAACTCACACGGGTTTGAATTCGGCGCCAATGCAAATTTCCGGCCTTTGATTGGCTAAAGAAAATGATGCACATTATTATTTTTTTCGCACCTGGACTTTTTATGACCATATACAGGGTGTCGCTTGGTTGCGTTTTACCAGATTTTAAGATTTCGGAATCACCTAGTATTATAATTACAGTAAAAAAAAAAGACTTTAATTGATTGAAATTTTTGTCAGCTCTGAAAAAATGTCAACAACATGAAGGCAAATGTAAACACTGTTTTTCAATTTTTTTTAATAATTTTTTGTTTTTTTTTGTCATTGAAACCATTTTTTTTACTAAAAATTAAAAAAATTATGCCAAAAAACAAATTCTTGAAACTAATTATATATAAATAAGTAGATATAGCTGCAAAGGCCTTTTGTTAGTCATTCTGTATACATATTTAATACAAAATGGTAATGAATTGAACAAAAATTGACAATAACTAAGTGACAACTATTTAAATTTCCCGCTTCTGCAATTTGTCATAGAAAGCGTGCTTTGAAACCATAGCAACGTTAATAACACTGATTTTTTATTGGTTGTTATGGAAAATAGCCATAGTAACAGCAGTTGAATCGCTCTAATGCTGTTTTTTTTTATTTAAAAATTTGCCAAAAATGATAAAATGTGATGCGATTGAGTAAAATTTGACAATAATATAGTGAAAACTATTTGAATTTGCCGCTTTTGTAATTTGTTTTCTTATTGTTCATTGTCATAACAACGTTTTTATTGGTTGTTATCCAAAAAGGCCGCACATTACCTAGCAACGGCGGTTTTAATCGTAGTAACCGCTCTAATGCTGTTTTCTTATTGTTTTTTTTGCGTATTTCGATGGTAATTGTTTAAAAATTTGTTAAAAATATAAAATGTGATGTGATTGAGTAATAATTAACAATAACACAGTAAAAACTATTTAAATTTGCCGCTTTTGCCATTTGTTTTCTTATTGTTCATTGTCATAGCAACGCGTTTTGAAACCATAGCAACGTTAATAACGCTGTGTTTTTATTGGTTGTTATGCAAAAAGGCCACACATTACCATAGCAACAGCAGTTTTAATCGTAGTAACCGCTCTAATGCTGTTTTTTCATTGGTTGTTTTGGTTATTTGTTTTCTTATTGTTCATTGTCATAGCAACGCGTTTTGAAACCATAGCAACGTTAGTAACACTGTGTTTTCATTGGTTGTCATGTAAAAAATGCCACACATTACCATAGCAACAGCAGTTTTAATCGTAGTAACCGCTCTAATGCTGTTTTTTATTGGTTGTTTTGCGTATTTCGACGGTAATTGTTTAAACATTTGTTAAAATGATAAAATGTGATGTGATTGAGTAAAAATTGACAGTAACATAGTAAAAACTATTTGAATTTGCCGCTAATGAAATTTGTTTTCTTATTGTTCATTGTCATAGCAACGCGTTTTGAAACCATGGCAACGTTAGTAACACTGTGTTTTTATTGGTTGTTATGCAAAAAAGCCAGTTTTAAACCATGGTAACCGTTCAAAGAGCGTTTTTTATTGGTTTTTATGCGTAATAAAATGCGATGTGACAATAACACAGTGAAAATTATTTGAATTTGCCGCTTTTGCAATTTGTTTTCGTATTCTTCATTGTCATAGCAACGTGTTTTAAAACCATAGCAACGTTAATAACGCTGTGTTTTGATTGGTTGTTATGCAAAAAGGCCACACATTACCATGACAACTGGAGTTTTAAACCATGGTAACCGCTCTCAGGGCGTTTTTTATTGGTTTTTATGCGTAATTCGTTTGAAAATGATAAAATGCGATGTCGAGCTGTTCATCACTCATCGATAAACAACCGAAATTCTTGTTGGAGTAACACAATCAAAATTGGATGATTTGTGGCTCGTTTGTATACACAAAAAGTCATTTCCCACGTCGAATGGTTTCCATAAAATTTATGGCCGGTTTGTTTACGTCAAGTGGTAGCACTTGATGTTAATTACAAAGTGGGAGCGTTTCAAGAAAGCGAAAAAAATTGGGTGCGATTTTAAGGGGAAAATAAAAATAAAATTTCTATTTTTAATAAGTTAAAAGAGATGGAAATTAATGAGGGTTTTCGCTACACGCATCGAAGAGAATAGTTCGAGCTTCAAAAGGGCGATGGAAATAGACTCGAATTGGTTGTAACAAAAGTTGAATTATATAAGTGGTGCAGTAGTACCAACTTAATGACTTTAAAATGATGTTTATTTAGAGAGAGAACAAGTGAAACTGTATCATAAACACGACGATTGACATCTTCTTGTCTAAATTTAGCCTCGTCGACTTCAAAAGAAGTAATAAAGTGAGAATTGCGTAAAAGAATTGAATAATTTTAGTACCATATGGTCTGGGTCTCAGCCCTTGGCCCACCTATGTTGTGACAAATTCGGGCGATAGTTTATCACCGCACCCACTTGGCCCTAATGTAACTCCACCATCGATGGGATGATTTATGGGCCATGTGTGGTGGTGACGAAGAGAAATATTTTTAGGCGCAAAAGTGGATTTTTTCGCTCATTTCTTGGACGATTGACTCTATAATTAAAGTCGCGCTGAGCACATCAAACACCCCTCGAGCCCCCCTCAGTGATGTGCGGATGTGGTAGCTATATGTCCGTCGTTACGAGCTTACGACGTGTGAAAAACATGGTTTACGTTATTTCACTCTTTTTAAGAGACGAGACGCCCGTTGGGACAACCACATTCATTTTACTATAAATAAATTATTATCAGTTTTTTTTCTAAATAAAAAAATATCAAGGAATTTTTGTGTTATTTCAATAATTCACCTTGTTTGGTTATTGTTGGTTGCATAGTTACATTTATTACTGCAAAAGTTGGTAATAGTATATGCAACCAATAATACATTAATTAAATGCAAAGCTTGT